AGTCGCATGTCAGGCCGTCACAAGGAGCCAGCAGGACTCGGTTGGGTGAGCAAACCCTGGACCCGCAGGCGTTTACCACTAATTTGTGGCTAGCAGTCTGATTGTCAAACGGGCTGCATGTGTTGTCAGAAAGTGTGGTATGCGTGTTGCTTTCAAACACAGGTGTGAATGGAAAAGCACTCCTCTCTGCACTACCATTACATTTACCAGGCAATGCATGCAGGTATGGCACCCCTCATTTGAGTGTCTGAAAAGGGTTGCAAGAAGACATGTATTGCAGCACACATGTGCACTGTGCAATGCAGCAAATGTGGCACTCACATGCCAACGTGGGGGCCCCGCTGCCATGGCTGTTTTGCGTCAGAGCTCTGTGACACCAACATGCGGACCTGTCCGCATCCATCACAATGGAAGATGTTACAGCAGCCCTGCCTACACAACCTCGAAGCCAACACGTAGCTTGCCATATTCTTGATCAGCCAGCTATGAAAACAACCGCGAAGGCTGCACTACATGTATGATGCGTGCATGGAGTCCGAGCTGTGCGTGAAGGTTTGCCAGTGTCCACACCCATCAAAACACACTGCAGCAACTGCGGCACTTGCACAGCTGGACTGGGCGCCCCGCCACGATGCCTGGACAACATACATCTACAGCTGCTAGTTCATACAGCTCTTCAATCGCCTGCACAGCAATAAATCTGATGCTGCCGCAACGTAGCATTGCTTTGATGGTGCCAACTTGATTGTCGAGCAACGGTAGCGCCTCTCTTGCCTGAAGCTGCCTCTGCTCACCTAGCGACCTACCCAGGACCTGTGAATGCCCTGTGAGCCATAGCAGCCAGCCACAGCGACTGCCGCTGCAGCAGTCCCTGCCAGCGACTACTGCCTGCAGCACCATGCGCCTTTGACCATCAACGCCCCGCCTCCAATGCTGTCACGGCGAGCGAGCCGCTTGGCTGCCACAGAGACAACGTCCAGCAGCGCTTGTAGCCGCCGCCAGGACGTGTGGCACGCACTGCAGTGCAGTGTAGCGGCACGCCTCACACACATTTGCCCTGGAAAATCACCACGGGTCGCCGGCTGTTCAGCTGCTGCGCCCGGCTGCTGGTGCAGCCACAGCTGCTGCTACTGCCCGCCTGCCGCGCTGCGTCCGCGGCCCTTTGGCATCTTCTTGCCGTCGTCGCGGATGTCCTTGGCGCTGTAGTAGTGCGGCGCAATCTCCACCAGCCACTTGGGCTCGATCTCAGACACCTGGTGCAGGGCACGGCACGCGCAGCAGCAGCCGTGCGCAGGCGCAAGGGGTGGCAGCAACGCGGATGCAAAGGCCAGCGAGTCTGTGCGCATGCTGCACCGGCGACATGGATGCAGCGACACAACCAGCCAGGAGCAGTTGCGGCTCGTCCTGAGTGCTGCCACAGCCTGACACAATGTGACAGCACTACACATGGCAGCTGCTGCACACTGCGCATCAGTACAAGCACCTCACGCGAGTTATTGCACAACGCCGCGTCGATATGCAGCCCCCCTGAACCGGCCGCACAGCAGCGAAAGCCACACACACCACGGGCGGCTCCCATGCAGCTGCCAGCCGCGCGCCCCTCACCGTGCGCATGAACTCCTTGCTGGTGAGCACCAGCTCGTGGTAGATGACCCAGCGTGGCAGCACCTCCTTGCTCAGGCTGCTGCCCGGGTGGATAGACACGGCGGTGGGGTTCTTCACGGTGCGGTAGCTGCCGTCCTTCTGCAGCCGAGCGCAATGGTAGAAGTAGCCGGCTGCGATGGACTTGCGCACGGCGTCTGCGCAACATGAGCAGGTGGGCGGCCTCAGCCGCGCACTCACTGTGAGGCTGTGACACCAGGGGGCGACTGCTGCCTGGTTGAGAGTGCTGGCACATGGTCGGTCACTCGATTGTGAGTGCAGCTGAGCTAATCAGAACAGCCCTAGCCATTCCTGCACATGCTACAGCACATCGCTCAACCACATTGCTACCAGATGTTGATCAGTGGCACAACAACAGACACAGCAGCAGCAGCAGCAGCAGCAGCGGCGCACCATAGTTTTCTGAGTCGCTCGCAAGCTCAATCTCCACCCTCTCCATGAGGTTGGTCAGCTGCTCCCTGATGTCCCGTGCACGCTTCATGCTGCGCAGCTGCACGTAGTTCTCAAAGCACCACTGGCTGCTGAAGTCAGACTCAGCCCAGCCCTGCAGGCAGGCCAGCAGGGCGACAGCAAACAGCGACAGCAGCGGCAGCAGGTGTGTGGGACAGTGTGAGCAAGCACGCAGCAGGTGTGGCATTGGCGTTGGCGGTCAAGACCAGCCAACATGATCCACACCAGGCGGGGCGGCGCAAAATAACATGGACGATAGCCAAAAAGGCTGCAGGTGAGTGGTAGCAACCACCGCCCTTGAAGCATTGCCACAGCAGCAGGGCCGCGTGCACCCCCCCGCACCTGGTACACGTGCAGCAGCTGAATGTGGTCCCCGACGTTGCCCCTGCTGAAGGCCCTGTGCGCGTTCTCGGCATGCACCGCCTTGTCCTTGGGCCTGTAGAAGACCGCGCTGCCTATGGACACCATGGCGCAGACGGTGGCCACCTCCTCAGACACCTGGCGGCGGTCGACACGCGCGCAGGCCGTGAGCAGCACACAATGAGCATGACAACATAGGGTGGCTCCACGTTATGCTAACAAACACTGCATTGGGCACCTGCTCTCTGCGCAGGCTCAACCCCAGACCCGCATGTGCCTGCGCCCTCAGGCTGCACTGCTCCAAGGCCGGCAGCAAGCGGCAGGCTTTGCAGGCACGCATGCAGCCGGCGCACGCGGCCCAGCTGTCGCCACGCGCCAGCTGTCGCGCCGCACCTTGTATGTCTCGCTGGCCAGCAGCGCCTTGCTGAGCATGGGGTCCAGGGGGAACTCCGCCATGCGCCTGCCCAGCTTGGTCAGCTCGCCACGGTCATTCAGCCCGCCCAGCGCATACAGCTGCAGCAGCACGCGCACAAAGCAAATCAGCAGCAGCAGCAGCAGCAGCTTGATCGCCTTACAATGCCCAAACAACCTGCTAGATGCATACAGCAGCAGTGGCGAAGGGGACTGCACATCACCACCACCACCACCACCACCACCACCACCACAGCAACTTTGGGAGCATGCATGCACAAGAGGTCGGGTCGTTGTAGCTCACAGCAGTGGTGAAACCAACTGTATGCAGGCGGTTTGCATGTGCCAGAATGCCGTGCCATGCCGTGCCATGTTCTGATGAGGAATGGTACAAGTGCTGTTCACAGGAGTCTGTGGCGCCCAACATGCAGCTGCCAGCTGCAAGCGCTGCCAGCTGCTTGCGTCTTGCACCTGCTCCAGCGCCCTCAGCAGCGCCTCTGCCGGTGGCGGGTCCATGAAGTCAAAGTTGACCAGGTCGTGGATGCCCAAGCTCTTCAGCAGCAGCACCACATTGGCCAGGTTTGTGCGCTGTATCTCGGGCGTGGTGTTGTCGTCCATCTCGTGCTGCAGCATGAACAGCGCCCAGCACCACGGTGAAAAACTGGACAACAAGCAGCGCCTACCTCTGCAACATACATCAGGGCATCAATACACAAAGCACGCCAACGTTGTTGATGTATGCACGCGCAGAACCGCGAGTTAGGTCAGCTGATACCTTCAGCAGTCTCCTGGCCGCTGGCGGAAACCATCTCGCCGCAGCGAACAGGCCAGCTCACCTCGTAGGCGTACGCTGTGTACACCCTGAAGCACTTGCCGGGTGCGGTGCGCCCTGCACGCCCCGCGCGCTGCATGGCAGATGCCTTGCTGATGGGCGCCACCAGCAGCGACTCCATGCCGCTGCAGGATAAAGATGGACATGGCACAGACAGCAGCAGCAGGCGAGGTTCAGCAGCACCAGGTGCGCCGTAGCAACGTCGTGCTTGTTGTTTGGCAGCACAAGCAAAACAACCATGCCTGGCTTTGGCATGACAGCGACTCATCAGCAGGGACTGCCAAGTAGGCAACGCAGCACACAAAGCCATGTGGACATGTACTGCATTGCAGTAAGCACGCCACGCGGCTACATGCACAAACACAGCACACACAGAGCACACGTTTACTCTAGATAACCAGAGCATTGTAGCCTGATGTGATGGAACTGGGTTGTGATCAGAACAACCATGCCACAAGAGCGGTCAACATGCTCACGTGCGCGGGTTGTACTCGTTCTGCTTGGCAAACCCTGGGTCAACTACGTAGCGGATGCCATCTATGGTCAGCGAGGTCTCTGCTATGTTAGTGGCCAGCACCACCTTGCGCGCACCAGCAGCTGTGGGCTCAAAGATCTTTGCCTGAAGCAACAGCAAGTGCGCAGGCGACAGAATAGGCGGGAGAGGCAGGCAACAGCCCGTGGGAGGCAACATATGGCATGCACATGGGCATGCACTTGACTGTGGCTGTTATTGGGGCACGATTCGTGGCAACACAGGCTGCGCGCTGACTCACTTGCAGCTGATTTGAGCAGCTACAGGCCACTCCATATGGAGCAAGTGGTAAAGCCAACGCTTATGTCAGGAGAGCATTTCCTGACTTGGTAAGCATATCAGCACCAGGCAAGTGACTGACGTTATGTACCAGATCACACCCCACACGCTACACATTCTATAGTAGTAAACTCCCAAACCATCCCAGTCAGGATCAAGCTTCACTGGCACGCCCAGGCCCCCCTCTGCCCCCTTGCCCACCTGCATGTCTGATGGCAGGTTGGCGTAGATGGGCGCAATGATAAGCTCAGCAATGCGTGTGCCCAGGCCCCGCGTGCGCGACTTGAGCAGCTCCTCAGCAGCCTCGATCTCTTCCTGCATGTCAGCAGCAAGAGCGCAGGGACAGGAAAGTCCGCCACTCATCAGGTGAAAATATGCAAACCGTGTTTCCAGCAAGTCAGCAGCCAAATTGCAGGCATGACATGCAGGATTATGTCAACAGGAGAAAAAGCAGAGGGACACAAAAACGATAAGTGACCACGGCAGGACTCGAACCTGCAACCCTCAGATCCGAAGTCTGATGCGCTATCCATTGCGCCACGAGGCCAGTGAAAAACTGACGATGTCACAAGCTTGACATAACGCACAAATGTACAGAGAAGTGTTATTTTCCCCAGATTTAAAAAATTTCCTGACCAGCAGCTTATCACTCAGTTGTTGCAGCCTGCTACTCCCTCAGCTGCGCAACTGGCTCATAATGAGACAGTGAGGCAGCACAGAGAGCAGCAGCAGCTACAGCTTCAGCAGCGGCGACAGCAGGAGCTTGATGAGCTGGTGCAGACGAAGAAGAAGGCGGCGGTGGCTAGGTTTTGGGAGCTGCTGGTTGACTTCATAGTCATCAAGGCGGCACCCTTGACCTGGCTGGATATTGTGCCAGCTGATCACCCCTTTTTACGCGTGGTTGAAGGCCGGCTGCAGCTAGCACCAAGAAGGGACTTGGCCTCTGCATAGCATGAATTGGGGTTATTTCTTGCATCCTCTGCTCTTTGATCCATTTTGCTACATGTGGTTGCATGTCTTGTGCTGTTAGTACTCTCATGCAGCCTGTGTCAGCCAGTAGGTGTGTTGGGCAGGTGCCATTGCCAGGGGTGTGGCCTTGCCAGACACATCAGTCGGGTGGCAGGTGCCTGTGGTGCCACGGCGCTGCGGGTTATGCTGTTGCTTTGTGCGCGTTCTAGTAGCAGAGAGTTTTGATCATGTTGATCATCATGTTGTACAATGTCTTCAACACCTGAAGCAGGAGCACCGAGGTGCCCAGTACCTGCTAGTTGTTGCCATGTCTGCATGTTCCAATCCTATTTCGCTGACGTTGACACCTTTTTGTTCCGTCCTGATGATTTTTCTCTGCGCAGAGTTTGTGTTATTTTGGGTGAGGAAGCTGCAAATTGCTTCTCTGAGGCTTTTTGTGGTTTATTCTCGTGTCCTGCGCGCTGCAGTCCTCGAAGTGTTCCGTTTCCAACGTGCACACCCATGTAACTCTCCTCAATCAATCAAATTTCCGGTGGGCTCTCGGCACAGCGCTCAGCCTATGAGCGTGAGGTGTGGGGCCCTTGGTTGTGCAGTAGGCCGCAGTATGGTGACCGTCAGCTGGCCCGCCAGCATGTGCAGGCCCTGCTGACATTGGTGCCAGCTGCATGGGTTGCTGCTGCGCGGGCGCGTTTCACCGCGGCTGTTGCTGCGGGTGCGCCCATTGCGCAGTTATCTTCTTTACTCCCAGATGACCTCTTGCTAGCGCGGGAGACGATGTGTGCGAGCTTGGGCTGGCGGCGACCAGGTGGCGGTGCTGATGATGTTGTGTTATTGAAGGACCTGACTGTCGCTACTGCCACGCAGCTGCAAAGCCTCCGTGCGTTAGAAGCAATTGCTCCCCGTCATGCAGCTTTTGTTGCTAGTGTTAGAGCCCTGGATGGGTTGCCGGCCGTGGCACAGTTGCCACCGGTGCGACTGGTTTTGTCACGGTGGTGGTGTGTGCGGGTGGCTAACGTGTACAAAGAGTCTGCATGGCGCCTGGCCCTGAATGCATTCCCTACTGCTCAGCGTATGCAGACTGCCACGGGATGCGCGGCGTGCTCTGCTGCTGTGCCGGGTGTGGAGCACCATTTCTGGACGTGTCCTGTTGCAGTTGCTGTGCGTGACGAGGTTGAAGGTCAGCTAAGAGCATTCAACATGTTGCCGGCAGGTGAGAGACTGCCGTGTCGTGCGGTGTGGCTGGCTTGCTCCTCTCATCACAATGTGCACCGACTGGTGTGGGATATGGTCTGCCTGGCATCTATACATGCGTTTGAAAAAGGCCGCAGGGCCTGGGCTGTGGCAAGAGATCTTGTGGTGCCGGTGCTGGTGGAGCAGGTGGCGGTACGTGCGGCACTTGGTGCTTTTTGGGATGCGCTTGCTGACTTTGCCGCTACGGCCAGAGTGCCGCGGCGGTGCAAGAACCAGCTGTTGACCCGGCAGCCGTTTATCTCCTGGCACACTGTGTTGCGGGGTAATGGTCTGCGTGTGGTACGGCGGTGATAGCCACCATTCTGCATGTATTTATGCCCGTTTGCTCTCTGTCAAGCCTGAGACTGGTGGTCCTGCGCTGCAGGAGCTGTACGGTTTGTGGTGCGGCTGCTGCAATATGCAGTTGCATTGCCCCTGCAGCAGCTGCCAGGTACTCTGCTCCCCCCCCCCCTTTGTTTGCTGCCTCGGACCAAGGTATTGACCTTTACTGGCCAACTTTGTCCCGTTGAGTTCAGCCCGCCCGCTGTACTGCACAAGTATGGCTTGCTGTCACCGACACTGTTTTAGGTTAGTCATGCTGCTTGTCCCCAATAGAATTCTACACTGCGTGTTGTGAGTCTGACGGTTCTGCCTGCAGAGCCACGTGTCATGTCTCGCGCACAGAGGCTTTCTCGGGGTGGGCCTCTTTTGGGTGACAGTCTGTTTTTCCGCTGAACTTCTAGCAGCTCTCTTTGTTTTCGGGTGTTCGTTGCGAAGAAGAAGGGGTTACAAGGTGCGTTCAAGCAGCTACGCCGCAACGGGCACCAGAGTTGAAAAGATTGCTAAAAGCTCAGCGCGGGCCGTCACTCGAAAGGAGGCCCACCCCTAGAAAAAGCCTCAGTGTGTAAGTTTCGGCATTTGGCCATGCATGCACAGCCGCCTTCCTTACTCCACGCAGTATTGCCCCCACAAGAGTACCTCCAGAGGAGAATTGGTGTCAATGGAAATCAAGTGCTGCCAACAGTGTCAGTGACGGCATGCAGTGCTAAAAGTGCACAGGGCCGCCATGCACTTCCGGCACTGCGAGCAGGCTGGGCTCTCAAGTCACTACACCACCCCGGGCGTCACCCCGTTAAGGGTGATGAGGACTAGAGGCAACAAGAGGGTAACTGAGCAGCAAAAGACTGTAGGGCTGAGAATCAGACACTGCAACCGCATATTGCAGTGGCATGCTAGTGGCTATCAACAAAGCCGGACAACCTTGAACTGACCAGGGGCAAGGATCAAAGCAACAGCAACAATGCACGCTCAGAAGAAGGGTGGCAGTAGCAACGGCAAACCATGTTGCACCAACCCCGGCTGCACCATGACATGGCAGGGCCCTGGGGCAATGACAGGACATGAAGCAGCTGCACCATCACAACCAACCACGGGATGCAAAGCACTGAGTAAGTGAGACCAGGCAAAAGGCTAGAACAACACCAAAGTAGGACAACAATGTAGGGGCGTAAACATAGTGTTGCCCAGACACACCTACGCCCCAGCATAGCGTCCAATATGTGATGCCATCAGCCCGCTCCAAACAGAGACTGCCTGGAGAGAAAAAAAAGGGTAAAAGATGGCTACTGATCATTAGACCAGGCCAACACCCTGCCAACAGCAGTATAACAGAGCTGCCAGAACCAACACCTGCCTTCCGGCGCAGGCCACCCTAAACCAAGCCCAACTGCCTGCTGAAACCGTACACAGCGAGACTGTTGCTGCCAGACTCCGGAGCATGCAGCGACAGGGCAGAGCTCTGCCACACTGTTGCTGCTGCTGCTGCTACTGTGTCAGGGGCCTGCTAGCGGCTGTCGCATGCTGCAGCGCGCCAGACAGAAACACGATACTGCTGATGCTGCGTACTCGAGGACGGCTGCACGCCTTAAGGACGTCAATCCAGCAGGGGCTGCAAACCTTCGATGCTGCTCCGACACCAGCCTGCAATGGCGCAGGACTGCAACAAAGGCCCCGCGAGATGAACCTCTGAAATTCCAGACGTTGTCGAGAAGGCAGCTAGGCGGTATCGGAGGTGCCAGAGAAGCGGCACCAACGACTGCACACGTCAGACTGATGCTGCTCGCCTAGTGCAAGGTCCAGGAGCTGCCAGCCCGTCAAAAAAGCTGACTGCTTTAGATCTAGCACTGTAAGGCCGCTGCCGGTCTTCTATGCTGTCGCTTGCGACTCGCGGGCCGCGCCCAGCAAAGGCAGGGTGGGCAAAGCAGAGCCGGAGCAGTTTAATGCCTTACTCAGGGCGGTGTTCGTTGCGGTTTGCGGTTTGAGGGGTTACACGGTGTGCTCAAGCGGCTACGCCACAACGGACACCTGGAATAAAAGGAAGCTGCGTGCAGCTCAACGCAGGCTGTCACTCAAGGAGGCTCAACCCCCAGGAAAGCCTCTGTGTGTGGGGCCAGACATCAGCCGTGCTCAGCACGACCTGTCGTCCCCATCACACGCAAATGTTGTTTGCTTGGAAGTATATGAGCATGCAAGCAGTAGTCTAAGCAGTGTCAGTGACAGCAATCTATACATGTTGCAGTACAGGAAGCGGGCTGAGCTCGTTGCGACGTAGTCGCCTGTGCACACCATGTAACCCCTCTTCTTCGAAAATTTCCGGTCCGGCGGGACGTTAAACACGTGGCTCAGTGGTTAGAGAGTCTGACTCCTAATCTCGAGGTCTAGGGTTCGAACCTCGCTGACGTCGAAAGCGCTCAAAAATACTCGAGCGGCTCATTGGTGCGGCCCACCCACGTTGTCGCCCAATCGAGTGGTAGGGGGGTTTCGGTGGTTTACCCCCTACCCGGAGAGGAGAGGAGTCTGGGTAGACCATTTAAAGGTCGTGTACTGCGCACTGCAGTGCTTGAAATCCCGGACCCGCACACCTTTCTTTCTTAAATTTCCTACTGCTGGCAAGGGCCCTGATGAGGATCTGCGGCGGGCCCCTGGTATCCCAAGCGATTGTATGGCAGCCCATCCTAAGTGTGGTGGTTTTGGTTTGATGCCAATTCAGCATCATCTGTTGTCGCGTTGGGCCTGTGAGGCTCTGCCTTTCCTGCAAGGTGGCACTGCACCTTGGGTGGCTGTGGCGCGCGTTCTTTGGACGCGCTGGGCCAGTACAATGGATTGTTTTACACGCGCCACAGCTAGCAGCCCTTGGGGCATATTGCTATGTCATCGAAGTCATATTTTCCCGGTTGCCCAGGCTGATATGGTCCTGCCCAAGCCGTTGCGGGTTTTGGCTATGGGTTTGCGCGCTTTGCCGCCGTTGCGGCATGTGGGCAGCCAGCCTTTGGATGTGGATGGTTTGTG